AATATGACCTTGAGTATAAATAACCCTCAGCAACAGATTTGACACATTAGACACTAATGACTGAAGACCAAAAGAGTTATGGGATGACATCATCAAGGAAATTATACAGGAAGAAAGCAAAAGGTCATTAAAAATACAAGAAAAAAAGAGAAGACTGAAATGGATGTCAGTAGAAACTCTGAAACTTGCTCTTGATAAGCTAAAACAACTGGAAGAAATGAGGAAGTAAAAGAACAGCACAGAAATTTTCAGAGGGCAGCTCTAAAAGACAAAGTATTCTAATGAAATGTGCAAAGAACTGGAGCTAGAAAATCAAAAGGAAAGAACATGCTCAGCTTTTCCCAAACTGAAAGAACTGAAGAAAAAAAAACAAACCCCAAACTAACAATACTGAAGGACTCTATGGGCAAAATATTGAAGGATGCTGAAAGCATCAAAAAAAGATGGAAGGAAAACACAGTCACTATTTTAAAAAGAAATGGTCAATGTTCAACCATGTTAAGAGGGTAGCATATGATGAAGAACTGATGGTACTTAAGGAAGAAGTGCAAGCTTAACTTCTTCTTAAGGAAGAAGTGCAAACTGAAGGGTTTAGCAAAAATCTCTGCAGGAATTGACAGAATACAAATGGAAAATTTTCAAGAAATTGATGCAGCACTGGAGGCACTCACTGATCTATGCCAAGAAATTGTAAAGACAGTTACCCAATCACTGGAATGGAAGAGATCCGTATTTGTGCCCACTCCAAAGGAAGGTGGCCAAATGGAATGCAGAAGGCATGGAACAATATCAATAATATCACATGCAAGTAAAATTTTGTTAACGATAATTCAAAAACGATTGCAACAGTACATTAATAAGGAACAACCAAAATTTTAATCTGGATTCAGAAGAGCACATGAAGCTATGGGTATCATTGCTGATATCAGATGGATTTATGGCCATTTTTGTTTTGTTTTGTTTTCTGATGATCTTGGAAGATGCATCTTCTATCACTCTAGCTATTCCAGGCTGGTCGGCTTGTCCTTTCTAGTGGGACCTACAAACTTTTTTTTTACCCTAGTCTGACACCAGCCCTCCCTCCCACGGCAGTCTCTGCTTCACATCTGGGTTCAATAACAATCCATTGCAATGGCCACACAAACACATAACAATACTCACGATCATGGGGTTTATAATTTAAAATCAAAACAACTCAGGGTGCAGCAATTTTCTAGTCAAGAATGCCTCTTTGTCGTACTGCAGACATGCCTTATTTTTGTCTTTGGCTTCTCAGCCATGTGGCCCCTTGGCCTTTACTCTGCTCTGGCAAATGTTACAAAGCTCTTTTAGCCAGGCTGTGAATATTCAAAGGGCACATTCTACAAGCCAGTCTTCTGTCCGTAAGCTTTTAGCTTTACTCAGTTCATGGGACTAGAGTCCACAGCTGCTATGTCTCTCCATGCCATTGCCTCTACTGTTGCCGCTTTTCTAGGCTTGGATCTCATGTTCTATTCAAGCTCTTTCTTCTTGATGGTCCTGGGATCTTCATCTTTCCTTCTGAAATGGCTCCTTTTAAACCTACCTGGTTTAAAAACTAACCAATCCCAGCCTTATTGTTGTTAAGTGCCGTTGAGTCTGTTCCAACCCATAGTGACCCCTATATAACATTTCTGAGGAGCGGCTGGTGAGCTTGAACCACTAACCTTGTGGTTCAAACTGACTTTCCAGTCAGTTTGAAAATCTGAGTCCTTTATACCTTTTTTGCATGGTCCCACCCAATGCTTTGTGGGAATTAAGAAGTCTTTGGATTGAAAAGTCCTACCTAGTAAATTCAAGGTACCACAGTGAGACGTCATCTTTCATACATTGGACATGTTATCAGAAGAGACTAGTCCCTGGAAAAGAACATCATGCTTGGTAAAATGAGGGGGCTAGTAAAAAAGAGGAAGACCCCCAAGAAGATCAGTTGAAACAGTGGGAGTAGCAATGGGCTTAAGTGTAAAAACAATTATGAATATGGCATAGTGTTAGGCAGTGTTTCCTTCTGTTGTGCATAGATAGGGTCTCTATGAGTCAGAAGGGCACTTAGCAACAAGAGCTTTTGTGATGATTAAATTAATTAGCTTAATTAGTTTAATAAAATAGATGAATAATGACTCGTAGTACAAAGTATTAACCATCAGGACTCATATTATTATAGATGATATCTATAAAGTGTCTACACAGTGATTGGCATAATCTTTACAGGGGAGTCCTGGTGTGGCACTGAAGGCTAACTAAGCACTGGACCACAAGGTTGATTTAAACCACAAGGCTTGTGCTTCAAACCCACCAGCTGCTCCTTGGAAACCCTTACAGGGTTGCTATGAATTGGAATCCACTTGATGGCACTTAACAACAAAGTATGTCTTTTAGGTTTCTTTTAATCTTAAATTTCTTCTCCGTGTCTTTCTTTCTTTTCTTTTGCAGTTTATATATTGAAGAAGGAGATCATTTGTCCTTTAGCATCCTACAGCACCACAACAGGACCAGTTGCAAAATGGTGATAATTATATCATTCCTTATTTATTTAATTACTTATATAAATATGTATGTAGAGAGAAACTCCCTTACATCAGCCATATAGTAAGCTATATGGTTACTCAGTGGTACAGTTCGTATAGGAAAGTCAAGGTAAATATTTTATCATTTTTTATTTACCCATTTTAAAAATAAAGAGTTGATTTCTTAGTGTCCTCTAAAACTACACCCATGGAGTCAATTCCAATACATAGCAACCCCACAGACCAGAGTAGGACTGCCCCATAAAGTTTCCAATGCCATAAATCTTCACGGAAGACTGCCACATCCTTCTCCTGTGGAACAATTGGTGAATTCAAACCACTGACCTTTCAGTTAGCAGCTGAACACATCATGCTTGGTAAAGTGGAGAATCAGCAAAAAAGAAGAAGACTCCATTGAGATTGATTGACACGGTGGCAGCACACTAGGCACAGACATAACAGCAATTATGAGGCTGATGCAGGACTGGGCAATGTTTTCTTCTGTTGTACATGAGTCACTATGAGATGAAAGTGGCTGTGGCACCCAACATCATTATCATTTTCAGTTATTCATAATAAAGGTAATTCTTGACTAGTTTGTTCAGTAGGTGTAAGGAATATATGAAATAAAGAATAAGCCATATAAAGTAACCAGCACAATCATATAGAAAACACCTATCTAATGGATGGTTATTGTTGTTGTTAAGTGATGTCAAGTTGATTCTGATTTATAGCGACCTTGTATAGGATTTCCAAGGAATGACTAGAGGGTTTGAACCAACGATCTTGTGGTTAGCAGTTCAGTGCTTATCCTAGTGCCATACCAGGACTCCTTGTAGATGATAGCTAGTATATAACTTTAATTTTATTATTATTGTTGTGAATATTTTTATTTCTATAATTAACCCCTTATACTTAAATGTTTTTGCTTATTAGCTCTTCACTCTTCAGGCTGAAATAACTGAATCAAAATGTTTCTTTTTTGTGGATGATCTTGTTGTTGTTGTTGCTAAGTGCTGTCGAGTCGATTCCGACCCATAGTGACCCTCCCTATACAGGGTTTCTGAGGAGCATCTGGTGAGCTTGAACTGCCAACCTTGGAGTTCAAATAGCTTTGTAGTCTGGCGCATTAACCTAGAGCACCACAGTTATTTTATCCAAAGATAAATTTATTGTATTTGAACCCCCAGGTTGGAATGGAGATGCTGAGTGAGATCAGGTTGAAAAGTAAATTGGGGCTAGATTTTGGAAGGACTCAGACATCACTGTAACAATTTTAAGTTTCTTTAGGCTGATGGGAAGGTTTGAGCAGGAGAGGATTATGAGGGATAATTTAGGAGGTTTAATCTTCTCTGCATATATCATTTTGCTTGACCAGCACTGACTGGTTAGGGCCCCTTCCTAGGTACTTCTACAGTGCGTTGTTGTTGTTGTTAAGTGCCATTGAGTTGGTTCCAACCCATAGCGACCCTATATAGGGTTTCCAAGGAGCAACTGGTGAGCTTGAACTGCCGATTTTGCAGTTCAAACAGCTTTGCAGTCTGGCGCATTAACCCACAGTGCCACACCAGGACTCATACTCCATATGCGCTTCTGTAGTATTTAACAGATTGTATGCAAATGCTTATCTAAATGATTCTCCTACTCTTGCTCTAAAGTACATAGGCCACATATTGTATTCCCAGGACCCTACTCAGTATGTGGACACCTGTCAAATAAGTAAATAAATGTTTTGTTCTGTGCTTTTCTGTACACTAATTTTTTGGCTTTTGTGTTTCCTTTATGTGTCTTCCTGGGCTCCAAGGAGGAAGCATCTCCCTATTCCTTACTTGATATCTGCTTGAATTTCCTGACTACTCACCTTGAGAAATTCTGTTCAGCAAGACAAGATGGAACATTGTGCCTGCAGGAACCTGGAGTATTTCCACAGGAAGTGGCTGATCGACTGCTTCAAACCATGGCTTTTCATGGTAAAAATAAATAAATAAATAAATAAACTGAAGGAAAAAAATTTGTGTGTTGTTAATTGAATTTTGAAGTGATAGTTTTGCCATTTAATTATTTATTTATTTTTAGAAAAAAACACTGAAGGGCCAGGTTAGCATCATTCCAGGAAAAGAGCTGCTTATTTTTAGCCATCTTGCTGCTTACTGTGTAATTTGGAATACACTTTTTCCTTTAGGGTTTTCTGTATTTCTTATTTGACCAAACCATCTTGTTTTTCTGTGCCTGAGAATTCATTGTTATGGCAGAAATCATTTTTCTAGCTTATAAGATATACATTTAGAAGTTTGCTGGCATAAATATCATACATCTTAATTTGAAATCAGTGGGAAAATCAGTATTATGGAAAAACTATTTTCTCTTTTTGACTTTTGAAAATAAGAAATCACAGCTAATTTAGTACTTCAGTTTTTAAAAACAAATTCTAAAAAGAAACAAATTCTAAAAGAAATGGAAAGTCTCAACTCATCTGAAATTCTGGTTATATATACTGAGTATTCTTATTCTATTTAAGTTTTAACCTGAAAAAGATATAAAACCTTTATAACTTAAGGGCTTATAAACTTATCAGTGGGGAATGTGATTTGTCCACATCTTATAATAGAATTAAAATTTAGCAATAATAATAGTTACCATTCATATTACGTGTCAGACATTTTACGTATGTTTTCATTGAATTTTCTTAACAACTCTAATCAGGAGTCCTAGTGTGGTGCTGTAGGATAAGCACTGGACTTCTAACAGCAAGATCGACAATTCAAATCCACTAACTGCTCCTCAGAAACCTTATATAGAGTCACTGAGAGTTAAAATCAACTCAATGATACATAACAACGACATTACCCCATCTATATACAGATAAAGAAACTGTGGTTCTGAGAAGTAAAGACTTGCTGAGGGTGAGATTGCTAGTAAATGGTGATGTTACTTGTCATTGAGTGGGTTCCAACTTACAGTGACCCTTATAGGATTTCCAAGGAGCAACTGGTTTGTACCTCTGGTCTTGTGATTAGCGGTCCAGTGCTTATCCTGCAGCACCGCACCAAGACTCCTGATCAAAATTCAAGTCAGCTTATTTTTTAAATCTGTGCTCTTTCCACTGTGTGCCACAGTCTTCCTACACCTACTATTAGAGGTATATCTGTTTCTAGATGTCAGGTAGTGGTTTATACTTTTGCTGTGATTTTAAAAAATATGTAACTAATAAGTATGAATGCAGGTAATATGTTCTATGGAAAAGTGGAAAGAAATTAGTCTGAGGCATTTTGGGCTATTTGAAGAAAGAAGAGGTCCTGTGTGCTCTTTGGTTTTCACTAAGTTGCTCAAATCTGTAGTCTCTTTGTATTTTTCCAGATTGCTATAGGGACCAGGATAAAACTCAATAGGTACTACATATGATAAAGGTAAAGGTGCCAATGCTAACAGTTCTTTCTAATTTCAGTTTAGTGATTATACTTAGCATATTAATTTTTTTTTAATATAACTAGTCTTGTAAATCAAAAGAATAGGTGTAAAGTTTTTTTCTTATTCATTTAGCCTTTTGAAATATAACTACTGATATCTGATAGTACCAACTAACATTTATTAAATGTTTATTAAAATGTGCCAGACACTGTTGAATGCTTGATATGTGTAAAATAATTACTGTGGTTTTTTATGTAAGGGTAACTAAATCATTTTTGTCCTTCAGTGTGTCTTGGAAAGCCTGTATGCTTGATCAAAATATATGTATTATGTATTTATTTTTAAATTACCTTCAGTTAAGGAAATGGGATTAGAAAAGTAATTTGTTCCCCCAACCCCTGCTGGCCATTTGTATAATCTCAATGTGATTAATTGCCTTTTTTTTTTAAACCCAGGAAGGGTTCTGAATTATTTCTAACTTTTTATTTCTAACAATCAAGAGTAGAGCTACTAGGATATATAAAAGGAAATAGAGCCAGTTCTTGTCACAGTTTTAAAAAGTCATTTCATAAATTTTTGTGTATTTGAAAATTTTTGTAATAAAATATTTGGGGAAATTACTCTGTTGAGTGCTTTTGAAGCTGATGCCAGTTTTGTTTTGTTTCAGTAATAGCATATTGATTTTAGAAAATGTTTAACTTATATACATTTTAAAAGTTTATTTCTTTACCCAATTCAAAAGTTTAAGAAGCCTGATGCTGAAGAGTTTTTGCTGTTGGAATATGGTGATTCTCTTGTTATAGTCTTTGGTCACTATATCTGTGATTAAGTGCTAAAAATTTCCCAGGAGATGTAGGCATGAGAAGTAGGAATCAGAATAAAAATTTTTCCATCTAATAATAATGTTCCTGTGTTATACTGCATATCCACTCTAAATTAACAGACCCTGATGTATTCAGCCCTACGATTTTGTATTAAACTGAAAAGAATTAAAACTTTTAAAACATATGGATTCCATCCTCGAGCAGCTAAATAGACTTTCTAAGTGATTGAGGGATTGTATTCCCATACTAGTGGCCCATTTATGTGAAAATCACATTGCTAGTCACCTTAGCTGTCTGTAGCAACAACAACAACAAAAAAGATGATGAAATGCTTTGGGGCAAAATTCTTACATTTAGATTTTTGTACTTTACTCCTTGAATGAAACCCCAAGTCATTATTTAGCAAATATTAATACTTAATAGATACAGCCCTAATTATCTTGATTTTCTAACTGTAGTAGATTTAAAATGTCAAATTTGAAGAGGATGGGCTGCCAACAACAAAAGTGGATTGTATGACAACAAAGGAAAATTTAGCTTAAATGCATTGTGACAAGTACAGTAATTATTTGGTATGGGAAAAAACAAATGGCTATTCAGTAAGTTTACTAACGAAAGAAGGGGGAATGTAACAATCTAGAAATATTTTTAAATATAGTTAATGACATTTGTGTAATGCTTTCAGTTTGCCTCATCTCATTTAATCTTCAGTATCCTGGTGTGATGCTATAGGATAAGCACTGACTGCTAACCCTAAGGTCAGTAGTTCATCAAACCCACCAGCTGCTCCTTTGAAACCCTATCCAGGGTTACTATGAGTCAGAACTAACTCAACAACACTTAACAACAACAATTTAATATTCATAGTAGTCCCCATGAGGGAGATATTTGCATTTTATAGATTTGAATTCTAATGCACCTAACTTAGAGCTCCAGACTCATTCACTGTTCAATGATAAAGGTAGAAGCAGAGCTCCAGGACCAATTTTTAAATCTCATGCTTTAAAAAAAAAAAATCCCTTGCTTTTTAAAACTCTATTATCCTCTAATATAAACACTTAAAATTGGTTATTAGGAAAATCTATGTGGACTGACTCATAGGCCAGGTATAACACACATTACTAAATCTATGTGTACAGTATCAAAATTTGTGAGCAAATTGTGTAAAGAACTGTGATAATCTCTATTAGATTAAAATTGACATTGAAAACCCAACGTCTGAAGTTTCAGCTGTAAAAAAAAAAACTATTGATCTTAACCCAGGGTCTATTTCCAAGATTTGGTATTTACAAGGACCCATTGCTGAGGATGGAGAGCCCTGGTAGTGCTATAGGATCAGCACTGGACTGCTAACATCAAGGTTGACAGTTCAGACCCACCAACCACTCTCTGAGATAAGGGCGAGGCTTTCTTCTCCCTGGAAAGATGTACAATCTTGGAAACCCTATACAGGATTGCTATTAGTTGTAATCAACTTGATAATGTGTTTTCAGTGGGTAGAGCAGAGATCAGCAATGTGTCTTGTGAAAAGAGTTCTTTCAGGTGCAGAAGCTTTAGAGAAAAAATGATTAAATACCTGTTGCAAGTCAGGCACTATCTTAGACACGAGGTATACAATATGAATATTAAACACAGCATAAATCTTGTTCTTCTAGAGCTTAGAAGTAAGTACAAAATAAACAGACATAATTACATTTGATAGGTTTTCTGAAGGAAACAAATTTAAAGCTCTCAGATCTATTAAACACGGAGGTTTATACCTCACTCACAGTACATAAACTGCATGTCTGTGGAGGGTTCTGCTCTGTGGTCATCCTACAATCTAGGCAGATGGAGGCTCTGCTCTCATATAGTTGTACTGTCCAGACCTTGAGGCCTTCTCACTATAGCAGGAGAAGATACCAGAAAATTCATGTATTGGCTGTTAATGTGCTTTGGTCTACATACTATTGACCAGAAAGTCACATCACATTGAATTCAAGGATGGTACTGGGAAATGTAGCTTTTCATATTTAGGAAGGCAATGAGATATATCCAGTAAATAAAAGTTGCATCTTCTGCCCTCCTGATCCTGCCACTTGCTCTGTGATCTTGGAACACAAATTAACTTTTCTGAGCCCAAGGGTACTAATTTGTAAATTATAGATAATATCCTCACCTCATGGAGTTGTTGTATATATTAAATAAGATACTTTTAATGCAGGAATGCTTTGTAAATGTAAAGTATGATAGAGTTTTTGTCTATTCTTTAACAGTTTTTAAAGTTAAAATTATTTTTCACCAGGTCTACTGAATGATGGAACTGTGGGTATTTTCCGAGGCAACCAGATGCGCTTAAAGCGAGCTTGCATTCGCAAAGCAAAGATCTCTGCTGTTGCTTTCCGGAAAGCCTTCTGCCACCACAAGTTAGTGGAACTTGATGCCACAGGTGTGAATGCTGACATAACCATTACAGACATCATCAGTGGGCTTGGCAGTAACAAATGGATCCAGCAGAATCTCCAGTGCCTAGTGCTGAACTCGTTAACTCTCTCCCTTGAAGATCCTTATGAGCGCTGCTTCAGCCGGCTTTCTGGCCTTCGTGCTTTGAGCATCACCAATGTTCTCTTTTACAATGAAGACCTGGCTGAAGTTGCTTCACTGCCAAGATTAGAGAGCCTGGACATTTCTAATACCTCTATCACAGATATCACTGCTCTTCTAGCCTGCAAAGACCGACTCAAGTCTCTAACCATGCACCACTTGAAATGTTTAAAAATGACAACCACACAGATCCTGGATGTTGTTCAGGAACTAAAGCATCTGAATCATCTTGATATTTCAGATGATAAACAATTTACATCAGACATAGCTCTTCGCTTATTAGAACAAAAGAACATCCTACCCAATCTTGTCTCCCTGGATGTTTCTGGGAGAAAACATGTGACAGATAAAGCTGTTGAAGCCTTTATTCAGCAACGGCCCAGCATGCAGTTTGTAGGTTTGTTGGCCACTGATGCTGGCTACTCTGAATTCCTCACAGGCGAAGGACATTTGAAGGTTAGACTTTTAAAATGTATTACGTTGTCAAGGTAATAAATGTGTTAGTTGTATATGAGTCCATTAAGATGACTGTCTAGTGATATATGGAGTCTGTTTATGAAACAAACTGTATAGTGCAAAGTCTGCTTTAGAGTCAGACCAACTAAAATCCCAGCTTTCTTGCTTTGTGACCCATAACATGCTATGGTTTATCTTGTATGAGTTTTCCATTTCCTTATTCGTAAAATAGTTATTACTACTTTGCAAAATTCCTCTAAAGATAAATAATTATATATGTAAAGGGCAAGTCACACATAGTAGATCTTAGGAAAATGATAATTCTTATGATGATGACGATGATGTTTAGATGTTTTAGACTAGTTAAGTATACCATTTCAAATGGATCACTTCAAAGAAACTTGATATACCCTTGTTGAATATAAAGTTCCCTGAGAAAATCTCTGCTGTAGAAGTAAAATTTTTCTTTTTTAAAAGTTTCTCATGCCTATTAGATTAAACTCAGTTTGCAAACATCTTTTGGGCTTGAGATTCAAAGATGAAAAAGATAACATGCCCTGCCTCCAAGGAGCTTAGTCTGATGAGAGTGGTAATGATATGATTGATCACAAATAGCTATTAAGCCAAGAATTAAAGTAGTAGTAATTACTGTAACAAAATAGGCATTTTTTCTTGCTGGGTAATTGGGGCGTTCATGGAGATGATACCTAAGCGAGACCTTGATGTATGGGACTGTAACAAGTTTGGGGAAGACTAATATTTTTCTAACACATACTATATCCCTTAAATGCTTTCTATTGTAGGAGCCTGGTGGCACAGTGCTTAAGTACTAGACTGATAATTGGAAGGTTGGCAGTGCAAACCCACCAGCTGTTCTGTGGGAGAAAGATATGGTCATCTGCTTCTATAGAGTTCAGCCTTGGAAACCCTAAAAGGACAGTTCTACTCTGTCGTTCTGGATCTCTATGAGTCAGAATTAACTCGATGGCATTGGGTTTGACTTAAAAATGTTTTACTATGAGTTAGAATCAACATTTGTACTTACATCTGTCTGATTCCAGAGCTCTATTTTTCTCCCACTACCCAGACCACTTGAATAGAAGCATCCTTTGATTCTACTTGGAGCACAGTCAGGCAAGGCCCAGAAGAAGTGGATTTTGTGAACAAAATGGCAAGGTATCTTTCGTGAGCAGCCAACACTGGTCCAAAAAAAGGATAAGAAAAGGTTAGCCTATGTCTTATAATCATCACAGTTCTTGGATTATCCATAAATTCAGACTTTTATGATTGTTGTTAGGTGCCCTCGAGTTGGGTCCAACTCATAGTGATGCCACATTCAACAGAAAGAACACTGCCTGGTCCGGCACCAGCTTCACAATTGTTAAATTTGAGCCCATTGTTTCAGCCACTGTGTCAATCCATCTTGTAGAGGATATTCCTCTTTTTTGTTGACTCTTCACTTTACCAAGCATGATGTCCACCAGGGAATAGTCATTCCTGATGACGTGTCTAAAGTAGGAGAGACAAAGTCTCGTCATCACTTCTAAGGAGCAATCCAGCTGTACTTTTTCGAAAACAGATTTGTTCATTCTTCTGGCAGTCTGTGATAGTTTCAGTATTCTTCACTAATACCATAATTGAAATGTATCAGTTCTTTTATAGTCTTCTTTATTCATTGTTCAGCTGTCACGTGTATAAGAGGCTATTAAACGTACCAAGGCTTGAGTCAGCAGCACCTTGGTCCTCAAAGTGACATCTTTTCTCTTATAACACTCTAAAAGAGATCTTTTGCAGCAGATTTGCCCAGTACAATACATTGTTTTGTTTCTTGATGCTACTTCAATGAGTGTTGCTTATGGATCCAAGTAATATGAAATCTTTGACAACTTGTCTTTTTTCCATTTATCATGGTGCTATTTATTAGTCTAGTGGTGAGAATATTTGTTTTCTTTATTTTGTTTTTGTTAAGTGCCATCAAGTTGGTTCCAACTCATAGCAACCCTGTATAGGGTTTCTGAGGAGCAGCCGGTGGTTTTGAACCACCAACCTTGTGGTTCAAACTAACCTTGCTGTCCAGTGTATTATCCTGCAGTGTCACCCAGAACTCCTTTATATTGAGGTGTAATTCATACTGTAGTCCTTGATCTTCATCAGTAAGTACTTCATGTCCTCTTTGCATCTGAAAGGAAGCAAGATTGCATCATCTGCATATCACTGTTTGTTAATGAATCTTACTCTAATCCTGATGCCACATTCTTCTTCATATAGTCAATTTTATCAGATTATTTATTCAGCATACAGATTGAATAAGTATGTTAAAAGGATACAACCTTACCACACATCTTTCCAATTTTAAACCACTCAGTATACCCTTGATCTGTTTAAATGACTGCCTCTTGGTCTATACATGGGTTCTACGTGAGTACAATTTATGTTCTGGATTTACCATTCTTCGTAATTTTATCTGTAGTTTGTTATGATCCATACTGTCATGTGCCTTTGCATAACCAATAAAGCACTCTGCTTTCAGCCAAGGTCCATCTGATGTCAGCAGTGACATCCCTCATTCCACATCCTCTTCTGAATCTAGCATGAATTTCTGGCAGTTTCCTATCAATGTACTATTTTTCAGTTATCTTCAGGAAGATTTTGTTTGCATTTGATATTAATGATATTGTTCAATGATTTCCGCATTTGGTTGGGTCACCTTTCTTTAGAATGGACACAAATATAGGTCTCTTCCAGTTGGTTGGCCAAGTAACTGTCTTCCCAATTTCTTTGCATAGATGAGTGAGTGCCTCCAGCATTGTATCAGTTTGCTGAAACATTCCAGTTTGTATTCCGTTAATTCCCTAAGCTTTGTTTTTCACTAATTCCTTCAGTGTAGCATGAACTTCCTCCTTCAATACCATCAGTTCTTGATCATATGCTAACTATTGAGATGGTTAAATATCAATCAGTTCATTTTTGGGAAAGTGACTTTGTGTATTCCTTCCATTTGCTTTTGATGTTTTCTGTATCATTCAGTATTTGCCCATAGAATCCTTCAATATTTCAAATTGAGGCTTGAATTTTCCTTCACTTCTTTCAGCTTGAGAAATTCTGAGCGTGTTCTTTCTTTTTGGGTTCCTAACTCTAGGAATTTTATAATAGAATATAGGAAATTATTTCGGGTCACTCCTTTTCATTTTTCAGTAAATATTTATTTAGTGTCTGTGCTCTAGACACTACTTGACATGGGAATTTGAGGATAACCCAGACATTCATAATTCATAATCTTGCTCTCAGGGAGTTTATAAATCAGTGAAGGAGTAGACATTAATCAAATAATTTTAAGTATATAAATACATATACATGCTTTAAGCCATGTAGTGCTAAGACTGTAGACTAATACACATATGTAGGGCCTTACCAGGAGTCTTGGTGTGATGCTGCAGCTTAATGCGCTGGACTGCAAGGTTGGTTTGAATCACAAGGTCAGCAGTTCAAGTTTACCAGCTGCTCCTCAGAAATCCTATACAAAGTTGCTATGAGTTGAACCAACTTGGTGGCACTTAACAACAACAACACCACCAGAGATACTTAGTGTAATTTAAGGCTTCTTTGAAGAATTGGTGAATGAGTAGAGATATTAAAGGTGAGACTTGGTAGAGAAAACAATGTAAGCCAGAGAACTAAAAGAAGGCCACTGTGACTAGAACACAACAGGTGAGAGTTGCAAGAGAAATGAGATATGACTGGAAAAATAGTCCAGGGCCAGACCTGGCAAGACCGTCTATGCCAGGTATTGGGCAATATGCTAGATTCACAGACAGCTGATATTTTGAGCCTGTCCTTGAACCACTGGATTTTTTTTTTTTTTTAATATTTTTTATTTCTGGTAAAAATATGCACAGCAAAATCCAGTCCCATCCAGTAGTTTCTAGACATACTTACAAATCAGTGACATTGTTTACATTATATTTATTGTTTTCTCATCATTTCTGTTCTAGTTGTTTCACTCCCATTGACTGAAACTCCCTGCCCCTCAACTTTCTTGTCTGTGCTTTAAAATAGCTGTTGTTTATATAGTTTTATGTGGATATTTTTTTAAAAGAACACAATACTTAAGGATGGCAATCTTTACGTTTTTTGTGGGGGAAAATTTTGTTTTATTTAAGATTTGTATGTACAAGGGAACTTCAAAACATTTGTGGAAAATGAGATTAAAAGTTAATGGAATTTTTCTATGAATTTTTCCTGGTGTGGCGCCACAGGATAATGCTCTGAACTACCAAGTCAGTTTGAACCGCAAGGTTGGCAGTTCATACCCACCAGTCACTCATTGGAAATGCTATGGATCAGAATCAGCTCTGTGGTACTTAATAACAACAACACATATATATAATTTCCGTTGGACTATTTGATTCCAAAGCATGTGCCCTTTCCACACTACACCTTATTACCTCAATTTGAACATCTTAGTTCTATCCCTTCTCAGTTTTTAACCCCACCACAGAGATTTCATACCATAGAATTTCCAACTCTGTCATGCTATTCCCCCCACCAGTTTTATTTTCTATCACTGTCAGTTTCCTTAAACCCTCCACTTCTACATAACTAGAATTCTTACTTTTTTGGCTGCCTTATTTAAGGGTTCTCTACCGAGCTATTGGAGTCCTGGTGTGGCGCTGTGGGTTAATACACCAGACTGCAAAGCTGTTTGAACTGCAAGGTCGGCAGTTCAAGCTCACCAGCTGCTCCTCGGAAACCCTATACAGGGTCGCTATGGGTTGGAACCGACTCGACGGCACTTCACAACAACAACAACAATTGGTTCTTACGCATCTTCTTGTTCTCTAAAAGGTTGGAGTGCTCCATACCTCAATTTTATTCTCAAGTCATCATCCATATGCTGATGACTCCTAAGTGTATCTCCAGCCTAGACCCATCCCTTGACCTCAACTGAATTAATTCAACTGAATTAATCAACATGCAGTGACGGTGGTGGTTGTTGCATG